AGAGCCTGCATCTGAGGTGGTGCTGGGTAGGCGTGTGGGTGAGTCACGAAGGTTGGTGCCGGTGGAGGATGTGTTGGCATGTGATGTGGCCACGTAGGAGCTGGTGGTTGCGGCGAAGTGGCCTGAAAGTGAGGCAAGATCGTCTGTGGTGGTGGATGAGACAGAACAGTAGGGAGAGGTGCCGTTGGTGGAGAATGGTGCCATGGTGGTGGCTGAGTGCTGACAGTAGGTTGTGGGTGCGGTACAAGGTGGTGGCCATTGTGGATACGGCCAGGGATACTGCATATGAAGAACAATGGAGAGGTCAATCCGAAAGGCTGCAGAAAATGGCGCCGGCGCGGCACAGCAGCGGAAGTGATATATGGGAAATGGCAGTGAAATCTGGAGCCTGAGTGCGTGTGCTGTGAAAAAATATAAAGTGAAGTCGTGGCATGCAATGCAATCCCTGAGATCTGCGGTGCGGAACGTGTGAAAGCTGATCGTTGGCTAAACAGCTGCGGGTGAAAAATTAAAAGTTCAAGGATGCAACAATGCGCAGTACGGATGGAATTCAGAATCATTGGTGGGAAATCCGTCGCTTATAGCCCGGCGGCTCGAAAATCAGTTGATTCAGGGATAAAGTTGAACAAACAGAAAGGCAGTTGTAAAGTTGGAAGGTCGGTGATTTCCAGTATGATTTCAGCGCCTCCTTTCGGAGGGTCACACCCAGTACCCATGTGGGAAGACTGAGCGGTCCACACTTCGAACTTGGGTTTTCAGTTAGACTCAATTGCCACGTTGGGAAGGATGGCGATGGAACCGTATGGTGAAAAGTCCGCGGATTTGTAGTAGGTGTTTTAACACAGGCTGTTTCTCTTGACTGCAGACCTCAGCGGTGGTGAACGAGCGGCTCAACACAGCTGGGGAAGAGTGGTTTAAGGGAAGTATCATGAACCACCATGGAAACAAAAAGGAAAATTGGACAGCGTGATCAACAGTTTCCTGGCAGGTACACAGATTGGCGTCCCAATCTGCTTCACGGAATGTCCACAGCTGTCTTCGTTGGCAGCAGAACTGTGGATTCCCTGCTGCCCCCTGCTGGAAAATCTTTTGAAACATGCCTCGGTTACAGTGGAAAGGTGAGAACGTGAAAAACCCTTAGAACCAGGGTGTGACACACACACAAACAGCCGGTTCGGCACACACTCTCTTTTCTCGCGGGAGGGGGTGTGTGAGAAGGGGTAGGTGTGCAGTGACTAAACGAGCCTAGAAGTCAACCTAACAAGCCTGAAAGAAAGAACAAACAAACGAGAAAGGCAAGGCAAGAAAAGAAAAGGTGCAGGGGTGCGGGGTGTGTGGGTAGGGCGTGCTTTGACTAAGCGAGCCTAAACGTCGACCTAACAAGCCTGAAGGAAAGCCCAAGCAAACGAAAAATGCAAGGAACGAAAGCGTGCAAGGGGTGTGGGAGGGGGGGGAGGGGTTGTAGACCCGAAGGTCATTGACAAGAAGCCGAAAATCGGCGCGCGCTTGACTAAAAAGCATCAGTTACACTTAAAAAGCATCTAGAAAAAGTAAAAAGACCTGGAAAACGAAGAGCAACAGCAGGAAGGAAAGAACCGAAAAATGAATACTTAGCAGTCCCGCCTGCATCCTATGATTACGTAGCGGCATAGAATGGTGATGCTGTCAGCAGGCCCTGCGGCGTATGTTCAGCAATCTCGAGCAAATCACTAAAGCCAAAGAAATTCACGAGCAAAACAAGAGTTCAGGGAAAGGTTCACCCTTGAGGGCATGTGCACATGCAGCGCCCCTTGCTGGGGATCACACCACAGCCCACAGCGGGACTCTGTGGCGAGACACACTTAGATAAAGTCTCGCAAGAGCAATATCAGTTGTGATCCTCCACTCTAGCGGACACCCGATACCTGAGAAACAGCCCTGAGAGGAACAGAAAGGCGACGAGTCGGCAACAATATTGTTTAAATCACAACTGGTGAAGAAGCAGGTACACCAGGTTGATCAGACCTGGCTTCCCAGATGCAAGGTAGCTTTGTTAGGCGCAGTCCCTTGCATCTGCTGCGCCCCCCTGCTTTGTACAATTCGTGTGGTCAAGTTCCTTCCAAACAGGAATTGACACACTTAAACAATGGGTTTTCAGTCAACTCAATTCCACGTCAAAAAGAGCGATGGAACCGAAAGGCGGCTGAGTCCGGTGACCTGTAGGTGTTTGAAAACATGTTTGCGCACATCTGCAGAGATCAGCGGCGGCTCACAAGCAGCGGAAAGCGGCGGAGGCAAAACCTGCTTAGGGGTAAGTATCGTGCAAGAACCATGGAATCAAAAGGTGGAAAAGTGGAGTCACGGCTTGGGCAAAAGTTCCATCAGTGCAGGTACAAGTGGTTGATCAGACCACTCATCCACAGAAATGCCATAGCTTTGTTGGACTGGATAGGCAAATCGGCTCCAGTCCCCCTGCATCAAGTACAAGAAATGTCGTACGAGAACTGCTCAGGACGGAGTGTGACACACACACAAACCGCCGAAATCGGCGCACTGCATGGGATGGAAACCTTTTCTGCGTTCTGCGCGTATAAAATTTGAATCGCAAAGGAAAGTGATCAAAGTCAGAAATAACACTTGAACCGCTGATGCTCTGCGACAAAACGTGAAGATACCGCACGCCCGGCGGCATCAAAGCTCCGTCAACTCGGCAGTATTAAGGCAGTAGATTCATGGGGTGAAACACTCAATCAGTTAGTGATAATCCAACGCGTGCAGAGACACTAGATCCATATGTGATTCACAATGGCCTCGGCGCCTCTCTTGCGAGAGGATCGCACTCTGTACCCAGTGGGACGACAGAGCGGCACACACTTAGACAATGGGTTTTCAGTCGTCAGTCAACTCAATTCCACGTCAAAAAGAGCGATGGAACCGAAAGGCGGCTGAGTCCGGTGACCTGTAGGTGTTTGAAAACATGTTTGCGCACATCTGCAAAGATTCAGCGGCGGCTCACAAGCAGCGGAAAGCGGCGGAGGCAAAACCTGCTTAGGGGTAAGTATCGTGCAAGAACCATGGAATCAAAAGGTGGAAAAGTGGAGTCACAGCTTGGGCAAAAGCTCCATCAGTGCAAGTACAAGTGGTTGATCAGGCCGCTCATCCACCGAAATGCCATAGCTTCGTTGGACTGGATAGGCATATCGGCTCCAGCCCCCCTGCATCAAACAAAAGAAATGTCGTACGAGAACTCCTCGGGACGGAGTGCGTGGCACACACACACATGTCAAAATCACACCTGTGAATTCTTTTCTTTCTCAGGAACACTTGTTTTCCATACAGTAGAACGGTAGATCCTTCAGAGTCTCCCTGCCATCATTTTCGGCACTTGCAATTTGAAGTTGCTTGAAGCTTCATGCGGAGGAGTGTGAACATGTGAAGGAACAACTCATGGACATGGCCATTCCTTGCAGGTTCACGGACATGGAGCATCGACACGTTTGTGGACACATTCTCCCGCTTTTGGTGGATGCGATGCTTGGCACAAAGACCAAACAAAATCAGTATTTAAGATGTGTTTGGAACGGTCTTTGATTGTGGCAAGACTGTCTAGCATACGATGTTCTAGAACATGTCAAAGGCCGTTCAGAACAATCATTCTTTGATGAACAGGAATTGTCACCGGATTTTTCCAGGAACCGTGGATGGGCAAACAGCTCTTGGGAAGATCCTGAGAAGGTGATTGGCCGGGATCGGCGGCAGGCGCGGGCAGAGAAACGTGGGGTTTCTTTCTTGCTGTTGCATGCAACACCTACTATGGGCTACGATGAAGGGCATATCAGAATTGCAAACAAGAAAGAACATAGATCATTAACGCTCGGTGTCGTGTAATTACTGTAGTAGTTTAGTAACGCTCAGTATTCCCTGATGAGCTTTGTTGCCAAAGTGCAGAATCAGAAGGTTCCCGCGGCAAGTGTTTTTTTGACACCGGTTGAGCCACACCTTTGACCTTTGCCAATGTGTTTTTCCTTCTTCTTTCCCGACGGACCTTGGCTGCATGAGGTCCAAACTGTTGATTGAGAGCGGACCTTGGCTGCAAAGGGCCTGGAAAGGGCTTTGCTCTTTGCTTTCTGCGCGCCGCACGGTTTGTTTCACATGACTTGGTGTCACTTTCACTTTCTGCTGAAACCTGGATACTCTGGCTGGTTCAGAGCCAAAATTCATTTGCGCCCACATGCCGCCCTGTCTCGCCTTCTGTGGTGGTGACGATGACGATCGGAGCTATTTCTGAGAGCTCCATGTAATTTCATGCCTCAAGACGATGCCTTCTGTAGCATTCATTCCAGATTGGAAGCAGTTTGAGGCTCCGGAGGCTTAGACGCCGATTGAGGCTGAGGCTAATGTCCTTCCCCGAAATTCGATGCACTTTTGCAGGCTGCTGCCAAGCACGCAACGCTGCCATGCATGAGCCGATGGGGCTCTAGATGGTCTTTGGGGCATATCTCAGGAATATGTAATGTATAATATTGTATATGTATATGTATATGTGTATATATATATATGTATAAACTTCGAGTTTGGAGTTTGTAGATAATGGCCATTGGAGCCTTCAGCATCGTGAGACCTGTGTGAAGTGCTCCAAGAGCAAACCAATTTCAGCACAAATTGGTGTGCTGGACTGAAATTGCGACTTCTTGACTCCTCTCTTATCATGAGCCAAGTATGTCAAATATGCACACGGACTGGGAGCGACCAACATTGGTGTTGGATCTTGGAACTTTGTTGATGTTGCCCAAAGCTGCATGACCAGAAGCGATTTCGATCAAAGATGTTTACTACGACCTGAAGGAAATGGATGGCATAGTTGGCATAGTTGCAGCGGTCACCATGGGACCGTGCGGAGATGAAAAGAGTCAACAATGGCGGTTTGAAAAGCAGTCAGCCATGCAAGGTCAGCCCAGGGGGCCCCGGCACCACTTGTTTGCCTCCATCCGCAATCCGCGACTGGTCGCCTCCCGTGCAAGGTATTATTCAACTGTCTTGCCACGACTGCCGATGTCAACCAAGAGGCAGCTTGAAGCCAAGCTGGCACCGAGCTCAGATGTCTGAAATCATATGACATCAAATGAAATATATACATTGCTAGATGTTGACAGTTGGGCGCAACCAGAAACTCTGAGCCAACTAGACATTTCCAGCTTTTAATGTGACAGTTTGCCAGCTAGTGCAGGCGCCAATTCCTCAGAGCCGGAAGCGCTCCAAGTGCAACCTAGCATTCTTGGAAGCTGGGCGCTTAGCAGAAGAACACCGTTGGATTAGGTTGATACCAACAGTCCTCGGAAGCCTGGCACAGCACGTTTCGTTGTGATCATCAAGGAAAGATCTCTGGGCGCGGAAGATGACCGTGTGATTTTGCAACCACTTGATTTGCTGGCAGGGATGACATATTTGGTTTTCTTTCACCTAGCATACACAAAATGCGACCAGGATATTTGAGGTCCAGTGCTAATCAGAGTTCCTCCTCACCCGTCTCTAGAAGAACGTTCTTGGTGGTTACTGCACTGGCTCGTGAGATGTTTAACAATCAGCTCTGTTTCACTCAAGGTCTATCGAGAACAGGGCGTCAAAGTGGAGATCAGCCACGACGGTGAGTGGGTGACCGGTACCACTTTAGAGCTGATCGAGGACAGACTGATCACGGTCCCTTGGAAGCCAATGCATGTGCGCAGTGCAATACAAGTTTCCATGTTGAAGCGAGGGGTCTTCTCCAGTTGATGTGTTGTTCCTGCACCAACCTGCTAGATGTGGGGGATTTGATGCTTATGTATCTCCAGTCACAGCGCATTCGAAGTGCATTTCGACTACGCAGGCTTGCCCAAACTCTATGGCTGGAGCGGGTGCTTTCCTCGACTACGCGTAGACACTATTGCACGGGGATACGAATAATAACCAAGTCATACCAGAGCATACCAGAGCAAAAGTGTAGACATCATTTGAGGGTAATAGTAATATCGTTTAAACAGGGAAAAACGTAGACATTAATCCCGCGAGTGCAATCATTAAAGCCAACTTCAACCACCCCTTCTGTAACTGTATGTATGCTCACGCATACCCGTGCTCACATGTGTGTGCTCTTATGTGTGTGCTCTCATATGAGTGCCCTCATGTGTGTGTGCTCTCATATGGGCAAATGTGTGCTCTGATATGTGTGCTCTAGTCGTGTACTCCCGCGTGTTTGCTCACGTATGTCAATGTGTGTACCCTTGTTTTGTTCTATTTAACACGGGGTCTCTTGCCGGAATACCTTTTTGGCGTAACGGAATTTCTGAATATTTCTGATATATATACATATATATATATATATTTGTTTGCTTATCCTTCTTGGACTTTGCCATCGTGCTCCAACTGTCTCGGTTGGTCTGTTGTCAACGGAACGACTTAGTCGCAGCCGTGTTCTTGAATTTTTGCACACGTAAACCTCTCACAAGAAAAGTCACGTCTGTGCCTAGACATACTAACTGTTCTCAAACTACGTCTGTTCCATCCTGTTACACTTACTAGACAGATGGTATAGTATTTGTTGTGTTTCCATTTTGGCTTGTAGTTGCTTGTCCGTCTTCCATTAGTGTGTTTGTTTTCCCCGATATCTACGAATTCAACACAGGAGGTCTGGATTGTAAATCTGTAGAGTCCAACCTGAAAAACCGATATTTAAAACAACGCTGATATACGTAGCACACTTTGAACAACCATAATACACTCACGAAGCTTTCTTGGTGCTTGGTGTGGCAATGATTCCTCATCGACCCATGTCCACAGGACATGCCCTCGAGGCTCAAGGTGCTGGTGGGGGAGCTGAGACCAAAGAGGTTTTGAGACGAGGCAAGGTGCTGTGGCAAAAGTGCAATGCCTTCACTTGGAATTCCTTTTCCGTTTGGACATGTGTGTGCCCTGTTTGTGCCGATTCTGGTTTAGACACATGTACTTTGGGGTTTGCAACACAAGTAGGTTTGCTCATTCTGTAGGGGCACCGCTTAAGATTTTATGCAAGGGACCTGTTCACCAAGGTTTCGTCGAAAGACCCTTATTCGACAATTCCTGTGTTTGGGCAATAGCACTGTGTGTCCTCGCACTAATGTCACCGTGATCCTTTTGGGACGAATGATCCTTATGCACGGTTACTTGTACATTTACTGCCAAGAGTCCGTCAGCAGTTTATTGCACACGTTTATGTCACTCTGCTTTGATGCTTGGATTTATCTCGCAATTTGAACAACAACCAACAGAACACTCAAGCTGAACCATACCAGGCAGCTTTGGCAAATCAAACACACGAACGGTTCTCGCTTGCAATTGAGGTCAAAATGGACAACGATGACAGTGAGAAGGTGATCAGTTTAGGCCCCTCTTCATAGTTGCTTTGGTGCATCTCCTTTTTGTCACGTGTGTTGGATCCATTGGACGTCTTGAGAAGATTGCGTTGGGCATAACGCTGCCATGCACTGCCCCTAACCGCCCCTCTTTCGGCTCGAGAAAAGGGTTGGAATCAGGGGCAAAGATCGATCGTGCAGCACAAGCTATGAAGACGGATGGAAGTATGAGGATCCTGCACAAGTATCTCATCAACAAATTAATTGGAATCCATCATTTTGTGTCTTTTGATTTTCGCCTTCAGGGTGAAGCTTTCTCAACCTTGAGCCCAGGTTGATCGGCAAAGCAGGATTCGTCCCGTTCTTCCCACCTGTCTTTGGCCGTGCGCACGAAGCTCATCTTCCCACAGAGGGTTCAAATTTTGAGCGCGCTTTAAATGCTTTCTTTAGGGGGTCTCGCCGCCACAATTGCTTTCATGTGTGGGAGAGGAGTTGATGAGGGAGAGATGTTCTGATGTACAAGGATTAATATATAACACACATATATGTATGTATATATATACACGCTATTCAGTATACAATATATAATTCGTTTATAATGCCATTTCTCCATTCTACGTCATTTGATGCTTTACAAAGAAGGTGTGATTCTTCAAAGGTCAAGTTTCAATGCCTTTCATGCCCGATCGGGCCTTTTGGGACGGTTTTCCAGACGAAGTGGTGTTCCATGTAGTCGGTTGATTTATATGTATGAGGATGCGCGTTTCACTTGCGACTCAAGTGACTTATAAAATAGAGGCAAAGGTGATTTATCCCCTTTTCCCAGTGGTCAAGAAAGAGAAATAGCACTTCATTGCAAACTCAACATCAAAATCAGATCAACTTGAGTCTGGCGCCTGGTGAGCTTGTTGGTTGAGTCACTCCTTCAAAGTTGGATAGATCTTCTCATCACTTGGGTGCGTATCATCGTCCCAAGGCAGGCAAGTCTTTTACTTGCAACGTTCAGATCAGATATACAACTGCAACACATTGTTGATGGTATCATATCAGGGCAAGAGCTGTCACTCCATTTCAAACCGCCTTTGTCGCATGTTGGACATTGGATCGAGTCACTCAATTGAGCTGTTCTAAGTTCTGAGGACTTTTGCGTCAGTTTGATTGACAAGAGAGGTAGACAGCGACTGCTCGCTTCCAAGATTCAGGCCCTGCGCAGCGGTTGGGTCGTTGGGTCGTCCGAGGGAGCGGAGCGGAGCTTACAGCGAGGTGATCCACTGGTTGGTCCAACACATGAGTTCAATGGATTGTGTGATGACAGCTCACATAGGCGTGCCTTAAAGTTTCAATTCCCGCCACATAACATAGGCTTGCTTGCCCTAATGAACAACAGGACTTCTCGCTAAGGTACCTTTGAGCTGCGCTGACTTCCCTTCTTTAACCGCACCACTGACCCTGGCCGTGAAGACTTCTCGGCTTTATGTTATGTTCTTCAAAGTTGCCAAGATCTGTCTAGCCCACTTGTTTGAGACATCAGTTGTACCAAGTCTGCTTGAAAAGCTTTTTGCTGATGGTAGGACGGGCGAAACGGATGAGCCGCCTGATGATAGCTTCAGTGTGGGGGACTTTTCCGACATGGAGTCCGAATGGGATCCCTGTGAAACAGCAGGACTCTGACACGTCACGTCACAACACGATTCGGTCATTGCTTTCTTCTCCTTCTCAAGTGGTGATGCTGACAAAACTTGCATCTATACTGCAGGCTTTTGCAAGATAGTTGATGGATTGCCCCCTGAAGCTTTTACGAAGGAGATTAGCTGTCCGACAAATCTTAGAAGGCATAGGGTAAAGATGCCCAGCTTTTTGATCCAGACATCATTGATACATATTGATGCTATATCCAGGAGAGATGCCGGAGATGATCGAGGAGGGATTTCAAGACAAGAATTTTGCTTCGTTCAAGCATTGGTTAACCTGTCATTGACAACTGCAGCAATTCGGTTCTGAAACTTCGCTGACACAGGACACCATGACAAGCAGCTCCTATCCTGTGGCGGCGTGCGTTCTGTCCGAAAAAGCAAGCGCTGGAAATTTCTATGTGCTTCTCGGCCAACACATCGTGTGCGAACCTTTGGAATTCTAGAGTCTATTTTTTCAACTTTTGGTCTTGGGATTTAGTTTGGATTCCTTCTGCTTTTGTGCCTTTCTGGTTTTCCTTCATTGCTTTTCTGGCTTCTCCTTTGTTGCTTTTTCCGCTTCTTTGCTTTCTGTGTGACTGCTGGTCAGCTTCTTGGCTTTTGTTCTCCACACTTCGCTTCCCTGCTTCGTCTTTGTTGTGCAATTTGCACAAGAGGTAACAAGCAGGAAAAGGACTTTGCAAGGTAAGAAGCAGGAAAAGGCTGACAGCAAAGAGCAAGGAAGGAAACAAGGAGGCAAAACAGCAAGGAAGCAAAGGAAGAAGGAAGTAAGGAAGGAGACAAATTGGAAGGAAGCAAGCAAGGACAACGCAAAGAAAGCAAGCGAGGAAGAAATTATGCCAGGAAGCAAGAAACACGCTCCTTGCTCAGAACAGAAACATCATAAAACGCACGGTTGGACATACATCTGTCACGCGAACAAGATTGACACCCTCAAGCCTAAATTAGGTGATACTTATATAACCGATTTTGCTACTGTACAACGTTCAAATCTCAACTTTGATTGTCCTCCAAGGCCCAGTTTCAACCATCATGCTAATCGTAACCCTCAAAGCTTAGTTGCAGCCTTCAAACCTCACTTGCAACCCCCAGAGCTAAATTGCAGACCTCAGGGCTGAAATTAAGGATTTGGTTTTGCTATGAAGGTTTTAGGACTCAATGGAGGCAAAGTTAACGTTCGCAAATGAGCATTTTTTGCGTTTGCAGGTAGCCAAAACTGTCATTTGCGAACAGGATTAACGCAGAAACTGTTGAACATTTCTGACAGGTCCGAATGTAGTTAAAGCAAAATCCTGCATAGCAACCCCCAATTCCATAACTGCAGCCCTGAGGGCGCAATTAAACTCTGGGGGTTGCAAGAAGCTTTGGGGGTTGCAAGTGAGGTTTGAAAGATTCAATTAAGCTTTGGGGGTTGCAATTAAGGTGCGAAGGGGTTGAAATTAAGCTTTGGGGGTTGCGATTAAGCTTTCGGGTTGTAAGTAAGATTTGAAGGCTGCAATTGAGCTGTGCTCGGCATCATTACATATCTTGTGTGGGGTCAAACACTGGGAGCGACAGGGCGAGATGCGCAAATATAAAGGCAGAATAGTCTATCGGGGTGACCTGATCAAACATGAAGCAGGTGAGATCGTTTTGTATGCTGTCACTGCGACGACACCCACGGCCTTGGTTCCGCTTGATTTGGTGTTGTTCTATGGTTCATGTGAAAACAATGTGATTTCGCTGTCAGATGCTGTCCAAGCTTTCTTATACCAGCGCCCATCGAAGAGGAAACTTGGGTGCTGGTGCCATACGAGTTGCGGCTTCAGAGCTGGAGATGCTCCCGTGAGACGTTCTTGGAACTCCACGTTGAGCCAGCCTGTCTTCATCAGCCGGTCGAGCTGCTCAGCTTTCATGGACTTCGTGAGTCCATCAGCAGCGACCGTGGTTTTGGTCGAGATCCAGCGGATCTGCGTTGTGGCCTCGGCCGGCATGGAGTCCATGTAGGTGGGATTCCCAGCGCGCCAGATCGGTCAAGTCGATGGCCAGGCGCTTGTCGCTGACTTCTCCACCTGTGGTGTTGGTAAGGTGGTCGCTCAGGCTTCGGCAGTCGGTGAGCCAAGGACTGCGTGTGGAGTCCATTGCCGCTGGCTGCCATTGCCCTCGTGTAGTGCTCCTTCTTTGGCGTCTCTGTCGCCTGGTTCTTGATCTCGAAGAGCGACTACACCGTCGCTGATGGCCTCCACGCTGGCTGCGCGGGATGCATCATTGATGCTCAGCAGGATGGCGCTTTCAAAGTTCATGGCGCCTTTGGCATAGTGTAGATACCTTTGCTCTTCTCTTGTAGTGCGTGATGTAGGAGCTTATTTGCATCCACGAGGTGTCTCACTTGCGCCAATTGTTGTCGAGCTTGAAGCTGGCTGACTTCGGCAGACCCTGGCTAGCCAGCTAAGGCTGCTCACAACAGAGCGCAATTGGCTGATTTCAGCCGGTGTTGCCGTCTCACCAAGTTGCTTGCGCCTCAGTGTCAGTGGATTGATGTAGATCGGCTTGGTCCGATCAAGGATGCTGGGGCATGTGATGGTGATTCCATCCTTCCCCTGATGGATGATGCGTCCACAGAACAGTTCATCGCTCTCCACCAGCCCGAACTTGAACTCAGCTTGAACGCCTCTGATCCGGCCCACAGCAAGTCATCAACGTGACATCCAAGGAGCTCTGCGACTTGTCCTTGGTTCTCCAGGCAGGTAGTAGGCTGAGGTCTCGAGAGAGATGGGCCTCAGGCCATTGCGAAGCAGGTTGTCGTGAAGGGCTTTCCAGAAGCCTCTTGGCGCATCTCGTGTCCCATAGACGCTCTTCAGCTGATGATCATCTGGAGGATCACCTGTGAGGTTTTGGGTGAGTCGGCGCGAAGGGTCTTCTCAAGATCACCTCGCGCGACGAGTCTGCTCTTCCAGCGGGGTTCTTCATGTTGCTCTGCCTTGTTCACGTCAACCCAACGTGTAGGCAGGATCACAGAAGGGTGGTCAGCCAGGAACTTGTCTTTCTCTTCGGGAGGCGCGACGAAAACTGCATCGAACTGCTTCCAGTTGTTCCATTCTTTTCCCTGGTGCCATCCAGGGGTTTTCTTACTTCTGGGCTGGCCTTGTCATAGTTGATCTCTGCGCCAGCTCCAACTTGTCTTTTCTTCTTGTTGAACCGTTTGGCCAGCGTACAATGAAGACGCCATTCTTCTTTATGCTTGAGCTGGCCCAAGGCTAGGAGTCCCTCTCCTGAGTCTCTTGGTGCTGGAACAGCGAGATCTCTCAGTCCGTGCTGGCTGACATCTAAGGCATCCAAGTTTCGGTGCGTCGCTTGCTGCAGTGTGGTGTTGGTGCTGCTGCAGGTGCTTGCGCTGGTGTATTGGGCACGGTTGCTGGGATCATCTCGGTTTCTGGTTCGGTGTTTTGCCGTTCTGGAGCCGGTTGTTCTTGTGGTAGCGGAGGTGTTTCATCTTCCTCAGGAATCGCTGGCAGTTGTTCCGGCGGTTCAGTTGGAGTGTACTCCATTTGTGGTGTGTCTTCTTCTGTTGGTCCTTGTCCACCAGGAACTTCAATGTAGCCAGCTTTCATCCCAATTGCGAAGCCGGTAGTCACCAGAGAAGGGGAAAGCTATCTTCAGATTCTTCAATCTCCTCTTGAACTGGAAGAAGATTCACCCTCATGTTCTTCACTCCACAGGTCTCGGAGACTTGATGTTGTTGGTGCCAATGTTGTTGTGTTCCTCCATGGCCGCATACATCAATTCCTTGAAGATTCCGCCTTGGCGGTTTTCTTTGCCGAATTGGTATGGCGCTTCCAACCCAGTGTAGCGGATGGAGATGCCATGAATGCGCAACATGTCTCTGCGCGCCCTTGTCACAGACCACGGATTGAGGTGGCCCAAATGGTGCGATCCAGCCATTGATGAAAGCCTCGGCGCAAACACTGCTCTTGGGAACTCCGCCTCCTGCAGCCCTGATGGTAGAGAGCGCCGATGTCAACTGCAGAGAGGACGGTGTGCCGTCTGCCAGCCTTGTCTTTGATCTCAAGGCAGTTTAAGCTCACTTCATGATTGAAGGTGTTGGGCATCTTGGTGCCATGGGTCTTTCCAGAGGCTGTCGCTTGCGGCGTGCCTCACAGGCAAATGAGCGGCAGGCGTCGATCACGGACAGAGAGGCATTGGCCGTCCTGAGAAGTTGAGCCATGCTTGCTGGTGAGCTGTGACCTGTCATAGTGTGCAATCTTCTGAGTCCCAGTCGGGTAGGCCTTGGAAGTTTGAGCCACTTTTGATGTCGGTCACGTTCAAGATCCATTTCTTGAGCAGCTGCCAGTGGTGACTCTTCCTTGTTGTTGGAGTTCATCAGGACTCAAGTGATCCGGTAGTAGATCTTGTCGTGGAGCGAGATCACGTGCGTCTTGGATGGCGCCCAGGACTCCAAAGCCAAGGTCATCTTCCATTCGACCTTCATCGATACTCTCAAGGTGGAAGGCTGGCTGCGCTCAGGTTGTGGTTTTCGAGCTCATTGAGGAAGCCATTGATCATAGCTTGACAGAGCTGTGGTGGCCGTTCTTGAGCTTTCTTGGTACGTTGTCCTCCTTCAAGATGCTGGTGTTGGTGACTTCGATCGCATCGGACATTGAGTTCCTTCACTTCTTTCTGGCTGTCAAGAGTTGGCTTGTAGTGCAACTCTCCATTGAAGTGGTCGCGAAGTCCGAACATACATTGGTCGCCACGGACGAGCTCAAGTGGTTGGAGACTTTCATTGTCATAGAGGCGCTCTTCCATCAAGTTCTTCATGTGGAAGCTGTCCCAGAACTCACTGGTCCAGGGATTCTCAAGTAGGACCTTCCGACCTCGAGCAAGCCGTCGACGAACTATAGTCCTTGGAGCCATTTGGT